TATTTCCTGCTTGAAACTTATGCTTTCAGTAGTTTTAATGGGTCTTAGGATGTTGAACAATAATATTATTCTAGTTTTTAAATAAGTACTAGTTTAATTAAAAATAACAAGACAAACTTTTTTGAATTTTCAGGCCACTGGGATGGCTTCCAACCATTTGAAAACAGAACACGTAGTACTGGTAAGGTAGTACCCTAAGATCATTGACTGTTAATGAAATGAGATTTACTTATTAAAGGATTCCAGCAGATTGCAACAACGCAATCTTTTATTGGTTGTCCATGCGCCATGTATACACTGCCTCATTGAAACTTTGCTATGCTTTAAAGGGTGCAATAGAGGTGTCAGTGGCAACAATGACAAAGGAAGAGCGCCTACAAACTAGCGAAGTTTACACAGTTGGATTTGTACCCTCTTATGACCTCCCTGATGGACAGCCAAAGAGTCTTGACCCCTTCCTTGAACCACTTATCAGTGATATAGAGGCAGGATTTATTGAAGGTAAACTTAATAATTAGGTGTAGACAAATATTTACATGACTATGATTGCAACACAGTCATGCATGTGTTACTAAGTAATTCTAATTCCATCACTGTTGTCAATTGTTACACTCCTTGTAGTTTTAATGATAAGTGAAGTGAACCTCGTCGGTTATAAATGCTTACAGCAGGAAAATGGCACATGCTTTGCTGAGTCCTATAAATTCTCAAAGGAAACAGACAAAAAGGAACCATGTGGCCACTTCAAAACAACAGTTCATAATAATTAAAGTTATAATCCATCAAAGCGAACAGTTTTCCTCGAGCTTTGCTCTCGGAAAACTGTTCGCTTTTCAGAACAGATAATGTCCTCGGACAAATATGCGGCATATTTTCTTCCCAAATGGAGGCTATTGTTTATTTATCATTCGATACTACATGTACCTTTATAAACATGTTAATTCTTACTGCATGATATAACACTCTTATGCTTTCAGGATATCAATTGAACTATGCAGAATCAATTCCATATTTCCGGCACATCTTGCTGCTTTGGACAAGAGATCATCCTGCAAAGTGGGAAGTGTGCAAGGCTAAGGGAGCTGGAGGCAAGAAAGGATGTCGAAGATGTCATATATGTGGTAGGTGGTGTAGAATTGTGTAAGGTAACTAGATCCATTGATTTACATATTTTTATAGCATATTTAAAACTAATAAAACTGGAATCCTTATTTGATATTATAATTAGGATGTAATATTTTACAAGGGTTACATGATAGTTCAATTCTAGTCCATTGGCCATTTGA